CCCCCCCCCCCCCCCAGGGGGATACCTCTGTTAATCATCATGGTACAGGATCTGGACCCAGAGCTGACCCACTTAGGAATGGTGATCTGATGAAAGGATAATCATAAAGCAGCAGGAGAGGTTCAGGGAGCATGTACTCAGAGAATAGATGAAGCAGAAGCAGGGAGATCCTTGCACTACGGCTCCTCAGGTACAGTGATCGGCAAAGTGGTGACCTCAGGTACAGTGATCGGCACAGTGGTGACATCACCAAGTATGATGAGACCAGCAACCAGAGGCAGCAGTGCCTGATATGAGCTCACACTGCAGATATACAGCTACAAGAGCCAAGGCACAGCAGTGATCAGACACAGAAGGTAAACTGCTAACGGTGAAGATATTTAAAGTGACATTAAACCCTCAGATTTTTTAACATAAACCAATACTGTAATGTGCGCCTTACTGTAATCCATGGTTGTTTCCCTTCTCTCTGCTCCTCTTCCTTTTAAATCCTCATGTCTTCTCATGCTGGGGGAGAACTTCTCTTTGCAGCCAAGTGCCTCTTCCTGTAGTGCTGGCTCAGGTTGTGAACCTACACACAGACACCATGTATCCATTCCAGAGACAAGGCAGTCTGCTGCAAAACAGAAGTTCTCCCCCAGCATGAGAAGACATGAGGATTTAAAAGGAAGAGGAGCAGAGAGAAGGGAAACAACCATGGATTACAGTAAGGCGCACATTACAGTATTGGTTTATGTTAAAAAATCTGAGGGTTTAATGTCACTTTAAGACACAAAAAGGTATATATTTTTTAGAATACTGCTGAGGCACAATTAGTATTCCTAGACGTTGTCTATAACATTAGAAAGTCCTCCCGGTTTGATTTCAGGTCCACTTTACTCGGTGAAGCGAAGGTGAGGAAGACTGCATGGGAGCAGGCACTTTAATAGAGTTCAGCCGTGAAAACAAATAAAACCTCATACAAATGAGCACAATGGATAAGGGTGCATGCACTTTCAATGAGGTCGCGTCTCTCTTTCGAAAACTCTGATGCAGAGAATTGAGATTTTCCATGAAACAGATGACCAAAATGTGGTTATTTTATAGCGCTCCCGCCTTCCAAATGGTCAGACTCCCAGCCAGGAAACAGAAAGAGGCAGCCGTGTTCCTAGACAATGCTGGCAGAATATAATAGACAGTTTCAGAACTCCCATCAAATGGATTAATAACACGTTTCATGAGGGGAAAGGTCCCTTTCCAAGCAAAGGCAGACGATGCCGATGTTCCAGCACCGCGAGCGTTTTACCGCTGCAATGGCGCCATCTGCTGTCAGGAAAGTCGTATCACATTGGCAAAAATATATTAGGATTCCGCATTTAAAGAATTCCAGTCATGCGAGCCTGACGCAGTTATTGGTGACCTCTACTTCTAAAAATGCTCAAGTTATTCCAATGGCCACAAGAGTCCATGATCAGGAGTTCTGACTGTATCACCTGCTGAATGTTTGTTCCAGGCCAGCTGAGAAACAGCACAACAACCAAACAGGCCTTGACAAGAAGGACTACAGGGGCAGCTGCCACATTTTGCTCATGACAGGCCTCCTTTAATGCAGTGGTTCTCTGTTTACATTCCTGAACCGGCCTGCGCTATGACTGCATCCCAGGTGCGGGCAAACGAGCACGCCGCCATCTATAGCAACCAAATCCAGAAATACCGGCACTCCGAGGGTCTTCTCCAAAGATAATCTTTATGTATGGAGCAAATACATACTGTTTGTTCTCCTCCCCCCCCCCGCATGCTCAACCTCGAACATGTTTCATCAATCAGGCTTACTCAGAGTACGTTGGAATGGTAAACACGTTAGCATACGCGGGAGAAGAACACTGTCAGGGGCACTTATCAATACTGGAGCAGCTGTGCACGGCAACCAATCAGCTTCTCTCTTTCATTTTTCAAATCTCAACTGAACAAACTGAAGAGAGAAGCTGATTGGTTGCCATGCACAGCTGCTCCAGATTTTGTCTGCTCCAGTTTTGATACATCCCCCTCAATGTATATGCTCCATAAATACAGATTTTTTTTAATCTTCAGTGAAGACCCTTGGCGTGGCGGTATTTCTGGATTTGGTTGCTATTTTTTAGTATTTTTGGCATCGTGCTTCACTAGATTTCTTATCCAAATGTGAATCATATTTTTCCCTGGAGTTCCTGCCAGTAGCAGCACTTCTGTTGCAGGTTGACAATGCTAAATCACTGCCTTACAATTAGCAGCATCGTTGTCAGGCTGCCAAGCGTAGCATTTATCAGTTCTACCAGATATCACATGGTACAAGCTGAAGACGTGCATATGGCAGGCTGACACTGTTGCTGCAAATTGCAATGTTGGCAGAATATCCAGGCAAGACAAATTCACAAACAGATACACCGCCGAGTCTTTAGTATCTGCTGATTTAAAGCAGCTGCTCTCTTTTTTTATGGCCCTGCTGGCTATTGGGGGTGGGGTGCACGGCATGGTGGGTTTATATAGTTCTTAAAAGGATAAGTTCTTCTTTCTTGTGTCACTCAAAGACCCTTCTACTTACCCCTGCGTGGTGGAATCTTTCCCCCCAAATTATTTGATCCCCAAGCCCCAATGTTGCAGCTTACCAACAAGCCGGGCTCCACAAGGCTGTTCCTACAGCAGCAGTACCATCAGCATCTATGCCAAGTTTGTCTGCGACTACGGTGCGGTGTTAGACGAGCACAAAATGGCGGCTCCATAAACAAATGGCTTGCAGCCTGGGGGATAGGCCACAGCATCAGGACCCAGAGAATGACTGATCGGAGGCAAGTATTCTACATACCCCAAGGGGGTCTTTTAGGAACAGGGACACCTGTCTTTTGGGTGTACAAAGCCAGTTTTAAAAGCTTGGGTTATCAAACGGTTGAATACATTGAAGATGGAGAAAAGGTCAGCTTGCTATGGAAATTCCTTATGGGAATTCTGATCTTTATTAATTTGGTTCACATTCTTCACAGGAAGGATAAAGATCTTTAGGGGGTAAGCCCAACCAAAAACAATTAGATTTCAGTTCCGGGTTGTCAGTGGAGGGTTGAGTCTCCTCTTGGAACCTTGAGCAATGTAAAAAGCCAGCAGGAGTTTCATGTCTCATGATGTAACAAAGACTAAATGGAAGATGCAACAGGGGCAGTGAGACCTACTTCTAGTGTATAAGGGAGGAGTTGCGAGTTTGGAACACTGGAGTCCCTGAGTGATATATTTAGATAGAGAGCCTCAACCCGCCAGCGTCTAATCAAAGCGGATGCCAACATTGGGCGTAGAAAGTCTTTCAGTGTCTCAAGGACCGTTATTTGTTCCAGCAGGATGCAAGGCTAGCACGAGTGATACAAAGTTCCATCAGAGGGGACTAATAATCCGGCATTGTTTGAGCTTCAGAGACCCTGATGGAAGAAGAGTTGGTGATGGATTTGCTGAAAAGTCACATTATTATTAGATTTTCGTTGTGCACTTCAGGCTTAGGCCACATTCTCCAGAATGACGGCGATACCCTGACCTCCTCCAATACAGGCCGATCCCACAGCGTATTTACCACCAAGGCGTCTGAAACAAGAAAGAAAAAAAAAAAAAAAAAAAAAAAAAAAAAGAAGGAGTACACACTCGCATACATAGGTTGAACTGGATGGACATTGGCCTTTATTCAACCTTACATACTATGTTACCATGAGTATAATCCCTGGTTACACAATGGTACATGGTACAATACACCTCTATGGGACCGCATTTTGTGCAGCTACAGCTCCTCTCATTGGCTGCTCTTCAAGCATTCCTGCAGGTCTTCAAATTAAACAGGATGGACTTTCAAGAATACAGTGGTACCTAGGTTCACAAACGCTTCTGTTCGCGAACAGGAAGTTCGGCCAAATTTTGCTTCCGTTCACGAACTCCGCATCGGGTGACGATCACAACCACAGCCATCTTCCCTGCTCTGACACGTGGTCGTGGCTTCCTCTAGTAGAGATCGCGGTCTGATCACAGTTTGATTCGGTTCACGACCACAATCGTGGAACGAATTAAGTTCGTGAACCCAGGCACCACTGTACAAGTAATAATATAGGTGAGACTTTTATATTTCCCTTGGATTCCATTGTTCACTGCCCATACACCAAACTCGTGGAGCTGCTGAGTTTTTAAGGACAACTTCTGTTTAAAGTGAAACTGTCCTTTAATAAAATTCTCATCCCCATCATCCTGTGACTGCAGCCCACCTAGAATAATAGTAACCTTCCCTGTGCCCGGTCAGCATGTCAGGCAGTTGATAAGGAAGTCACTGACAAACTTTACATGATCTCTCACATGCCAGTGGCCAAAATCAAGCCGGCAACCCAGAGGAAAGCCACGCAGGGAGAAGATGTAAACTCCATGCAGATAAGATAGCGTCTTGACCGGGATTTGAACCTGGGACCCATAGTGCTGCCAGGCAGAAGTGCTAACCACTAAACCACTGTGCTGACCCATTCTTCTTAGGCTCTCTTGAAAAAAAAGGTTCCGATTCTTCCCATCAACAAAGCAGGAAAACCCATTCTTTGTTAGACTTATGGGAATTTTTGGCTACTGGACCCGTTGATCTGCAAGGCTCACAACTGCAATGAAGTCCATTTCCGAAATTCGGTAGCGGTAGTTCGAACGTTAGTTTCGTTTTCTGTTCTTATTCGTTTCGTTCGTTGGAGCAAAGTGACATTAGGAGAAAAATATTTTTTCCCCCTCAAATGTCACTTTGCTGCAAACGAACGAACGAATAAGAAACGAATAAGAACAGAAAACGAAACGAACGTTCGAACTACCGAATTTCGTCCGAATCCGAATTGACTTTCACACCCGAATCCCGAAAAACGAAATAACACAAATCCGAATTTAAAACGAAACAAAACTAAAAAATTTTTGGCACTGCACATGTCTAATAATCACTGTGAATATGCAGCCCTGGGATTCTGGGTCAGACTCTCACACTGGACCCTTTTGTCCACATACAAATTTGAACCACACTGCTAGGGTCACTAGTTCCTGACCTAACTTACCCTAAAGTATGTGCCTGCGTTACCATGATAGGGTCATTGTGGAAGTGGGTGTATGCATGGTCCAAAGTATTCTATAAAGCGCTGCATAATACAGTAAACTCCCATTATCCGGCATTCAAGCATCCGGCATTCTGAAGTAACTGGGGGGAGGGGGGGGGG